CGGAGCTGGCGGCGGCGGGGCTGCTGCTGGCCGCCTTCTCCGCCTCCGTCTGCAGCCTCCTGGCCATCACCGTGGACCGCTACCTGTCGCTGTACAACGCGCTCACCTACCACAGCGAGCGCACGCTGGGCTTCACCTGCGCCATGGTGCTGCTGATGTGGCTGCTGTGCCTGGGCGTGGGGCTGCTGCCCCTCCTGGGCTGGAACTGCCTGCGGGACCAGAGCTCCTGCAGCATCCTGCGGCCCGTCACCAAGGACAACGCGGCCGTGCTGGCCGTCACCTTCCTGCTCCTCTTCGCCCTCATGATGCAGCTCTACCTGCAGATCTGCAAGATCGCCTTCCGGCACGCCCAGCAGATCGCCGTGCAGCACCAGTTCATCGCCACGGCTCAGGCCACCTCCACCCGCAAAGGGCTCTCCACGCTGTCGCTCATCCTCGGCACCTTCGCCCTGTGCTGGATCCCGTTCGCCATCTATTCCCTGGTGGCCGATTCCAGCTACCCCGCGGTCTACACCTACTCGCTGGCGCTGCCCGCCACCTGCAACTCGCTCATCAACCCCATCATTTACGCCTTCAGAAACCCAGACATCCAGAAATCGCTCTGGCTGGCGTGCTGCGGGTGCATCCCTTCCACGTTCTCCTCCAGACCAAGGACATCCAGCGACGTGTGAGGACTGAGCTCGGAGCCGGAGGTGCTCCCTGGCTCTCCTCCTCCTGCTCTTTTTCCCCTCTGTCGTTATTGTTTCCTACCGGGAGGAGCCCCCCGCCCGGCCAGCACATCTCGTTCCATGGAAAGATGGCCAAAAAGAGAGAGAGGGAAAAAAAAAAAAAAAAAAAAAAGAAAAAGGGAAAAAGAAAGAGAGAGAGAGAGAGTAGAATGATAATGGTTTCCTTTAGAAATGTTATTTTCTTACACATTTTATTTTTTATTTAAAAACACAAAACACTAAAAAAACAAAAAAAAAAAAAAAAAGGAAGAAAAAGAAAGAAAAAAACAAAAACAAAAACAAAAAGGATCCTCCTCGCACGATGGCGTTTGTCTGCTCTCGGGGTAAGGAGCCGGGGGAGCAGCGGGCCCCAGCCGGGTGGTCCCACGCCTCGGGGGCACATCCCATGGGAAGGCCACAGGAGCGGGGGGATGGCGAGGGAGGTGTCGCGTCCCCCCCCGGGCGGGGCTGGTCCCCACGCGTGGGGTGGCTGTGCCCACCCCCCCGAAATCAGGGCCTGCGATGCTATGCAATAATGGGGGGCGAGCCCCGGCCGGGGGGCTGCGGGAGGAGGGACACGGGCACTGTGTCCCTGCGCTTCCACAAGCACTCCGGGTGACAAAACACTTCAGGTGTGGCTTGTTCGGGCTGTCGCAGCGATGGGGGCACCCAGGGAATGCGTTCCCTCCTTCCCTCCCCCCAAAACAGGGCTGGCGCTGTGGGGATGGATGGTGAGCGCAGCCGGGGTGCCCTGCACCCCAAAGCCTGGGAGGCCAAGGAAGGGCTCTCCTCGTCCAGCTGGGGCTCTGGGGGCGCTGCTTTCTCCCCTTCCACACGAGTTGTTTACATGGGGTGGGATTTTCGTCCAAAGAGGGGTCCGGGCTTGCTGGAGTCCCCGAGGGGGAAGCCTCTGTCACCGCGGCTGTCACTGCTGATGCTGCCACTTTACTTTGCCTCGTTCGAGAAGCGCCGGGCCCCGACATTCCTGTGCCGTGTGATGTGCTGTGTGCTGCTGCTGAGACCGGGATGAAGTGTCCTTTATCCTGGGCTTTTCTTTTGGCCGGGAGGTGGAATCGTGCATTCGCTGCTGAAGCCAGGAAGGACCCGAGCAGCCCCCGGAGGGGTCCCTGGGGGTGGGACACCCAGGGTGGCTCAGGGCACAGGGGGGTCCTGCCAGGGCTCCTGGCATGGGAGACTTGGGAGAGCTGGGTCTGGTACCCAAATATTCCGCTTTGCTGTAGAGAAATGGTTGTGATGCTGGAGAGGAACTTTGGATGAGGAAGGGCTCCCAGTGCCAGAGGGCAGGGCTGGATGGGATACTGGGCAGGAATTGTTCCCTGGCAGGGTGGGGAGGGCTGGCACAGGGTGCCCAGAGAAGCTGTGGATGCTCCTGGATCCCTGGAAGTGCCCAAGGCCAGGTTGGATGTTTTTTGGAGCAGCCTGGGACAGTGGGAGGTGTCCCTGCCGTGGCAGGGGTGACACCGGGTGGATTTAATGTCCCTCCCAAGCTGTGACACTCTGTGAGTCAGTGATGGTGGAAGAAATGTTCTTGCTTTGTGTCACTTTGTGATCAGACAGATCCAGGAGGATTTTATCCCTGGATCTGTGGAACCAATCTCCGGCTCCTCGGAGCTAAGTGCACATGAGAAAGTTCTGAATCTCCCAAGTGTGCCTGGGGCTTGGACCTGTTGTCCACCTGTGAGAGGTGGGCAGACTTTGAGTTTCTATGTTTTGTGGGTTTGTGTGGGGTTATTTTTCATCTCCTTTCTCTGATGAATACCTCGGAGAATGGGCAGTTGGCACAATGTGGGATCGATGTTTTAAACTAAATATATGTATAAGAAAGATTAATATTTATACAAACACTTCCCTCCTTCTGTTTCTTCTGGTTTCTTAAGGCCAGGCCCCTGCAGTTCCTCAGTGTAAAAACTCAACAGCTTAAATCCTTTTTGAAACATTGTGAACATTTGAAATGTTTTTTATCCAGCCCCCCTAGCTAGAAGTCAGGGTTTGCTTCTCTGGGCAGCTCATTTTGTATCTTTAGATGAAAGGTAGTTGAAAAACCTTGACATGAAAAAAGTTGCATTTTCTTGGCTTTCCAGTAAATTCCCTGTTGCTGAAGAGCTTGATTTTAACAATGCTCTTTTTAGAGTTTGGTTGCTTGAGGGATACACTGATAAACTTGGCCAAAATCAAATGAGGATCGATGAAAAATTTCTCCCTGTGGCCCTCCACAGCAAGAGGAGAAAGATTTGGGATGTGAGGAGCTAAAGCTGAGGACACAGCCCCTGCCAGAATGAGGTGGAGAGCAGGTGGGGATGTCCTCACTGGGACACTGGGTCACCCAAACACATTTTTTGGTGTCTTTTACAGCCACTCTGGCAGAGGAAACTCTGAATTCTGGTCCTTGGCTGCCCTGCCCTGCTCACAGTCAGTACCAGGATGTGGCACGAGCCTATTCCGTGCTCAGAGCTACTGTCAAATAACAATCTCATTCCATTTCTCATTTCATTCCATCTGATGGTCAAGCTGAGATGTTAAAGCTGCCCATGGAAGCTCTTAAAAACACTTGTTAGGCGTCAGGAAAAGTCTCAAGAAATCTCCTCTTAAAAAAACCCCAACATTTTGATAAATTGGCATTTTTGCAGTCATTCCCCTTAATAAAAATAGTGCAATTTCCAGTTTGGTTGTTTTTTGGTTTTTAGGTTTTTTTGAGGGTTTTGTTTTTTGTTTTTTCCTGTTTTTTTTTCCTGTTTAATCAGAGGAAAGGGGGGGAAATGAGGAGAAGATAAAGAGGTTCAGGTTCACCTGCCGTGCGTTGCCTTGTGGAAACCTCTGACCATTTTAGTGCACCTTTGCTTCAGCGCTTTGGTTTTGTTTTTGTTCTGTTTTAAGACCTTTTAGTGGAAAGTTTTGGAGTGGCAATGTTGGACATCGGTGGGGATGATGGATTTTGGGGACCTCCTTATGCAGAACAGCAGGAAAGTTAATTTAAAAGCTTAAATCTCCCCCCGAGGTGGGGCTGCTGTGTGTGCAGGGTGGGAGTGTCCTGGGCTTGGGATGGCTTTGGGATAAGTTTAGGGTGGAATTCAGGGCTTTAGGATGAGGTTGTGCTGCCATAAACAGGGAGCAGCTCCCATGAATGTAAAGGGATGATGGTGAGGGAATCACTGGCGAGAGAAATGGGGTTTCCAGCTGGTGGATCCTCTGTGGATCCACTGAGGAGCCAAAACTCGGTGCAAAGAGCCCCTGACCACTCCCTGGGCACCACCAGCAGGGCTCAGAGCAGCTGGAGTGCATCCCAGTGCTCCGTGGTTGCTGGTGTTGGGTGTGCTGGGGGGCCTCCTCCACCTGGGGTTCTGCATCTCTGTTAAACTGAGGTCTCCAAAAGCCTCTGGTTTAATGATTGTGCTTTTCAGCTTGGACAAGGGGACAGTGGCAGTCCTGCAAAGCACGGGGTCCTTGGCTTGTTGGAAATTTGTAGGTGTCCTTTGATTTCCAGAGAGTCCCCCTGGGCACTCCAGGAGGAAGCTGGAGCTGCCTGGAGAGGACAGCTCTGCTTGGGAAGAGCTCCCTGTCCTCACCCTGGCCAGGATCTCACCCCTGCACCTGCAAACTCTGAGCTTTGCAAATGGCTTTTGATAAAGGATGAGAGGCCAGAGCCAGGCTGGGCTTAGATTCTTGTCACTTCTGGACTCTCCAGGAGCTGCTCTGGATCTGCAGCAGCAGAAATGGGCAGAAAACTGGTCCTGAGTAATTCCAGGTGGAATCCAACCAGCCCTGAGCCTGTGGCAGGGATCAGCATAGCCAGGGAAAGGAACCCACTGCTTATTTGCTGATTTATTTACAGGTTCCTGGGTGCCTTTGGCTTTCCCAGCAGCAGCTGGTGGCCAGCAGAATGTAGATGTGAAAAGCTTTTGGTGCTTGGCTGGTAGAGTTGAGGGGATGAGGAAAGGGTGAGGAGGAGGAGGAGGAAGGCGAAAACATTCCTCAAATACACTGTGACAAGGCCAGGATGTAACCACAGCTGCCCTGAGGTTCATGGAGATGTGCCAGGGTTGAGGGGGAGCTTGTGATTTTACAACAAGCCCTTGCCCCTGTCCCAGCACAAGAAATTAAAAAAAACAAACCCAAAACAACAACAACAACAGGAAAAAAACCCACAAAAAAATCCTATAAAAATGTACAGACTCTACCAACAAAGCTGCTTAGTTTTATTTTGGGGTTTGTTCTCTTTTTTCCTTTTCTATTTTGGTCAGTTTGGGATTTGGGGCAGAGAAAATGTCTCTCTTTAGCCAGCTTCATGTCAGTAACCAGCAGCAAATATTCCAAGGATCTCAGTCCTGGTGGGGCAGCCCCAGCTTGTTCATATCAAATAATTTGAATTGAACCTGGAACAAACCCCCAAGAAACCATTACTGTTCTCATGAGGTGATGAAGTATCTCTTTCTTGTAGAAGCATCAAATTTGGGGTGGGGAGACCTGTTAAAAAGCCATTGCTACTCACAGGTATTGGTGTGTCCTGACCAGCACCGAGGCTCACGTCATTGTTAACCACCAATTAACAGCTCACCCCTAATTGTCAGGGATGCAGGTGGTATTTCCTTGTAACTCCTCTCCTTTGTGCCCAGTGGTGAGGTGAGGCAGCTCCACTTGGACCATTTGAACCTTTTCTGTTGCCCACTGCAGAATCCCCCCAGCCCACCCTTGCTGTCCCTGCAAGCCCAGGAGCTCCCCCATTCCCACTGGGAATGTCATACAGAGCATTGCAGAAAGAAAACAGCAGAGGAGACCCAATCCAGACCTCTGTCCCACGGCTCTTTGCTCCCTGACTTTGAGGGAGGTGAATAAATCTCCTCCAGCTCCCAGGGGAGCGGTTGCCTTCCCGAATTCCGCTCGCTGCCCATCCCAAGGTTATCCCTGCCCAGCCTGAGGGTGTCTGACAGCACACTGCGTGTCCCTGGCTGCTGAGACCACCAGCACAGGTCTGTGCTCTTCCTGCAGGCTCTGGGAGCTGGAAAGCAGCTGGCTCATCCCAGGAAAAGCTTTTGTTGTGGCTGAGGATGAGGGGCAGCGCCCTGGGCTCTGCCTTGCCTTTGCCCTGCTTTCAGGACAAGGACTGGGCTGGTGGCCCTTGGGGGCAGGTCAGAGCACCCTCCCTGGGAAGGGAATCCTCCAGCCCCGAGCAGGGATGAGTTTTCCAGCAGGAAAATCCCGCTCTGTGCTCACCCTGGGCTGTGAGGCACAGCCAGGATGGGATTCAATCATCCCCATTCCCTGCCTCCCGTCCCACCTGATTCCCCAGGAACGAGGCCATCCCACAGCAATCAGGACAGCGCCTGCTTCTGCTGTCAGTGCTGTCGTGAGCCTTTTAACTTGGCTGGGAAAGTGGATCTCAAAGGAAAATGTACAGTTATCATTCAATTATGGTTAAATCAAGCCCCTTCGATGCACTTTATGACCGAGTGAAAACAAATCAATGCTGTTATTGCACTGTATCTCTATTGTGTATAATATTATACATTCATCTGTAAGAGTAATTTATTTTTATTACTGTAAATAAAACTGTTAAAGTGATTTGTCAAGAGGATATCCAAAAACGGGGGG